AAGATAAAACTTACGGAGGTGGTCAACATACAGAGGTCTGGTTCCATAGGGTTTACATAGTGACCGTTCAAGTTATGAAAAAGTGGTCAACATAGAGAGGTGATCAACTTTGGAGGTTTTACTGTAATTTGGGAATCATGTGTACCAGACGTACACAAGGCGGTGATTGGCCGTAGACCGCTTCAAACTGGATGAAACCATTAGTTGAGTCTAGCACGGCCACGGGGAACGTGCACCCAACAAAGATTAGCAATCTCCAAGTGCCAGTAATAGACGTGGAGGGTGTTAGTCAGGTAAGCACTTTTTCAACATTCACATAATCGCAGCCACACCGGGGCTGTCAATCAACAGCCAACATTTGGAATCTAAGAAACAACACACGCAAGCACACATACAGACCGTCGCAAAGATACTGGACCTTAACGTGATGCGATGGTTCGCGCACCACTTTGACCCATTGACCTTTACTGGCTGGTGCCCCTTGAGAGCAACGCCTACCCGGTTGGTCAGTGGTTAGACGTCAAACAAACTCAATTTGCCGGTCCTCTAGGTTAGGGATCTAAAATGGGATGGCGTCCATTTCTGTAAAACTAAATCATTGTCACCTTCCCGCTTCCTTACGGACAGGTTTACGACCTTTGGTGGAGGACCCGGATCGTCCTCCTGTCTAGGTCTGGGCGTCCTGGCAGTATCTCAACTCACACACAACTATGACCATTTCCTCAAACTTCAACTACATTATACACCGGCCGTTGCGCAGATTAGCAAGGGTCGCATTATCCGTTGCATACAACAGGGCGGATAAGCGAAAACATTATACTGCAGGCGCCTCTTCTTTCTTTTCTATCACTCCCCTCCCAACCCCCATTATTAACCTTCCATAGTTCTCAGCTTAATTGACAGCAGCCATAATGGCACTGGAGTCAAACCATCTGCAGCTACCTTCCCGCACCACCTATTGAACGTCTATCGGCCACGCTGTCCCGTTTCCCTGGTGGCATTCAACGTTCGCAATCTAAGACAAATGGGTCAACAGACTGCACTCGCACGCACGTTAGACACACTGATTATTGACTTGCGTGTCCGATACTAAGATCAATGACCCTCAGGGGGTTGTATTAACTTCGCTCGGCTTGTCCTTTCGCTATTGGCTGCACGCATCCGGAGACACTGATGCGGCAGCCTCTGGTCAAGCTGGGATAGGTATCGTACTCACCTCCAAGGCTGTCATTGGTCGATTGGACTTCTGTGAGCAGCCGTTTGCGTGCAGCCCGTTTGAGGACAACTAAAGTTAATTCTCAGAGTAGCACTAGACGCTGTATGTTTGTGGTTTCCGCTTGTACGCGCACCGATTATTGTAGTTCTGATACTGTCAGGGATTCCACGAGGTGAACGCGCTGCTTCGCAGTGTTGCCGGTCCAGCTTTCGTTGCCGTTTCGAGAGATATAAATGCACATGTATGTCGCATGGGCTCTTCCGAAGCTAAGCTCACCTTCTACTCGGGTGACGCAGGATGAGTCATGGACGGTAAGTTTAGATGCTTCCTCGTAGGCTGAGGTTGGAAACGCCATCATAGCCCTCAATCCTCATTGTACTGCTGGTCTAGATTTCCCCCTCCTGCATTATTTAAGGATGGAGGTGAGGTCGTTCGCAAAACACACCTCCCTATTCGAACAGATTTTGTAGGAAGATGTCAACCTAGCTAATTGGAGTGAATCGATTGCCGTAACCATATGTAAGAAGGGCAGTCGCAGCGCCTGTCTTAATCACGGGTTATTAGCCTAACACCAGTTGTGATAGAGTTACTGGCCTCAGTTCTCCTTCGTCACCTCACTGCGAAACGGGAATTCTGGATTATGGAAGAGCTGGCTGATTTCCGCCCAGGACGGGGCTGTATAGACCACATATTCAATTTGCGGTGAATGCTAGAGCAACGCCACGCGTACTGCAGACCGACAATAGCTGCGCTCCTTGACAGTCCAAGGGTGCGTCCGGCTCAGTCGGTCGATGCATTCTGTTCGAAATACTTGCGCGAATAGGTGTTCCCATAAAATATATGAACATTTTAATTGCCCTGCACTCGAACACGACAGGCCGCGCCAGGGTCTACGGTGACCTGTCGGATATCTTTCCGACAATTGGTGTTCATCGGGGTTACCAATTTCCCCATTTTTGGAGGGTCAACTTTGGATTACACGTTGTGTGATTGGATTGCGACGCGCACTCCCATTGTGGACCGCGATGCACATTGAAGTGAACCTTGGTCACTGCGATCGCTAGGACCGTCGCCGGAACTGAGGAAAATTGGGTGTTGCACTGTTCCCCACTTTTGTTCAACTTCGTCGTGGACTGAATCGTAGTGTTCCCATGCGGAATGTCACGATGCAGGCGTTGCGGTGCTGTCTGGTGAAAGGCTAGTTGATCTTGATTATGCGGGCGCTATTCTTTTGCTGATTAGCGATTTTGGGGACCCAGTCAGCCTTGAGTGGTCACATTATTTTGGATGCGCTTCTCACCTTCAAAGTGCAAGGTGTTGTCGCAAGACCACCAGCCACTTAACGAACCCTTGACAACGAGGAATTCCAGGTAGTTGATTGCTTCACTTTCCTTGGCAGCTGCATCAGTAAGGATGCGGACATAGCGGCTGAAGGCAGTTCACGTATTGCAAGAGCCAAAACTGCCTTCATGACTGCGACATCTTTGACATCAGAAAAGTGTCTCTCGGTGCGAAAGACCGTGTCTACAAGACCATAGTAGTGAAATTTGGCCCGTTCGATCTAAAGCACCCTCAAGTCTTTGATCACCACCGTCTGCTGATGCCGGGTGGCAGCAGCATGTCCGCAACGATAATATGCGTAGGTGAGTACTAGGCAATAATAACCAGGGTAGTTCATCAGAATAACAGATAACCCTGAATAAGTTGCGTTGGCTTGTGCAGGTGCTACGTATGCCCGGTCATCGATTACCGAGGAGAGCCTTGTTTTGTTTGCCATATGTCGGGTGGCGCAAGGCTCTAGGTGGATAAAAGTTACCTTGGCAGCAGGAAATAAAGTCACTGTCGACTAAACTTGGTGCCGTCGGTCCATCTCGCCTTCCAGGCTGGAGTCCACGTGACTTTCCTTGTGCTTGGCTCGAGACTTTACAGGGCATGGCTCGCAACCGACACCATTGGCGCGTCTGCTGCCATCTCCTAGTCGTATTGTCTGTTTAAATTGTGTTTGATGCTGAGTTATCTGCGGGGCAATGGCTCATTATGAAGCGAAGGAGTGAAAGCCGCAAGGAAGCTGTCTCACCGATGCCGCCTTTGCACGATAGCCAGCTGTTTGTGATGGCATGCTGTAGACACAGGGTGTAGGCGCCTTGACCCTGAAAGTTTGCTAAGGGCATTAAGGTCTTCCGATTAGTTCCCCTTCTCTCCGTCTTATGATTCTTCATTCCGTATCTCGTTATGGTTGTACGGCTGCAAAGCATTCGTTCAAATGGCTGATGGTACTGCTGTTGATGCTGTTCATAAGGTGCAGACGCCTTGAGCATTAGCGTTTGCTTAGGGCACTAATATTTCGCGTTAAGTCCCTCTTGGCCCCCACTTAGTAAACTTCATACCTTAGGTTCGGCAGCAGTGGATCAGCTCGAGTTACTGATATGCCTCTGTTGTTGGTGATGATGATTGCCCTGTACATGCCGGATTGTGGGGTGCAAATCTAATGATTGACATTCATATGTGTCGTTAGTTTCATTTGTTTGTTTGTTTGAACACTGGGTAGCATTTGTTCCCGACGTCCTATGGTTAAACTGCTTCTTGCACCTTATCATTGATGACGAACGTGCTACTCATCTACCGACTATATGACTGTACGTTTTGTAGGACATAGCTGTTTAACTGGGGGTCATTTTTGACCACTCGTATTAATGGATTGCGCCTAGCATTCTCAGTGTGTATCGCGATTCTCTTTCAGTGAACGTTGGTCAGTTCGATCACTAGGTCCGCAGCTGAAGCGGATAAATGTTGTAATTTAAGTGGCTTGTCCTTCGGGACTACGCATGTGTAAATTTACGCGGTCCAATTGGCTCGTTGTGCACTTCAAAGGCAACTTTTTGGTACGCAAAACCTGCTACAGTCGTTTAAGTGGGCACTGGCGAATGATGGTGCACGCATGTAACCGGCAGATGGACAACGCGTTCTTTCACGCTCATCAGGTAACATTCTCAGTAAATATTTGAGCAAACGCTATCCAGAGGTCAAATTCACAATTAAACACCAGTTATATGGCACTATCTATTTCTTATGCAGATTTCCATAGAGATCCAGATGGTCTATTACACACTGACTTGGGCAAGTCATTAGCAGGCAAATATCGACATGCCATACCTGTTGTTCTGTCTCACAATTGATGGTGTTACCAAACCACGATGATTTAACAGCGAATGTGGTGTGTTCAGGTGATTCCTATCGTTTTGTCGAGAATGAGTTGGGTTTTTGGTACATTTATTTCCTTAGGTTGCGTCGTGTCGGAAGTGATCTCCGAACACTGCTGGGTGTACTCCCGATACAGCCATTTGCTTAGTCGGTACATAGCAACCTGGTCTATCCCTTATCATGTGAGCGATCGGTCACTTTGTCTTCATCTAAACTGAGGCAGCATCGGTTTTCGCTCGACAGGCTTCGGGAATATGTGACCTAGACAGTGTTGGTTAAACAATCCCTAAATGCCAACCAGTAGGGGCTTGAATTATAGACTGTGGTGATGAAGCGCGATCACTGCCGGCTTCTAGTGCGCTGTTGCGCAGCTGTTATAGGTGCGTTACTTTTCGGTCGGAACCCATATACCCTACTCTCTTTAATGACTTGATCTTCAGAACGGATGCTTTGGTAAACATAAGTAAACCGTTGAATTGCCCCGAGTGCGCAGCGACTGTGGTTAAAACCACTGATTTTTCGTCACGCTGCGTAACCTCTCATCTCTGCTTATTTTTTTCACTTCCGTTCAATTTGTGCATAGATGGCTGTGGACGGAGGCGCTACGACAGCCCGATTTGGAGAGCAAGTTTGATATTGGCGGATCTGGATATCCGGTACGTTTATTGTTTCTAAGTTCTATTTTGCGCTTTCTGCACAGTCTTGATTTGTTTTGTTCTTGTGCTTCGGACAAAGCTTACCGAAGCCACACTCAGCCCGCTTTGGATGCATTACTTTGGATTGTCCTTGTTAGTGCTAGTGCTCTTTTCACTTCTCAAGACGCATGACTCCAGACAAATTATTCGCACGTCCACTCGAGTATAAATAGAGGATATGATAACGTCGTACCCATCGGTGACCATAGCCGCCTGATCAATATCCCGATTATTGTGGACCCAACTGGGTCGCTGTTCAAACTCAAAACAACACATGGGAGGCCGCTTCTGGGTTCGTTGCACCTCAAACAGATAATGGTGGTCGTTTTCTGTAACTAAACGCTGGTCACTGGCAGCCCTGTTTTCCAGCGCAAACGTTCACATCGTGTCACCTGGCGCCCGCCGAATTCCTTGATGACTTAGACCCAAACTGACCGATTCCCACCAGCTGTAGATGGCACGCCACAGTCCAAGATTGTCGGTCAATTCGGATCACTGTCTGGATTCCGACCATGCTTTAGTGCGATCACGCCTGGTGCTCACTCTTCCCGCTTCGAGAAATCGTTGCACTTCTAAGCTTTTTACTTGTAACTTAAATTTGTAAGTTCATGAATAACATGATGAACTGGTCCACCAAATATCAGTGATGAATGAGGTTGATGAACCGGACGCTATCTGGAATCGTTTCAGGTGTGCCATGAGGTATGCTCCCGAACTGTGAGTGGTGCATCGATCAGTTTGATCGAAGCACAATAACAGGTGCCAAGAGTCACGGAGTTTCAGCGTGTCCGTAACGTCCTGAGACGACGACTGATAAGGATTTTTTGAATCGGCCGGGAACTTTGATGGGTGGCAAGGGCACGTGAGATGGAGAAGACCAGTGCTATTCCAGTTCATCCGGGACATGAGCCCTAGCGCCGTCAATTAGTGAGACAATAAGCTAAAACCGATGCATTCTCAGTCTCATAGACGATTGACATCCAGTCCTGATCTGTTCATTGCTCTTTGCAGAGCTTTTGTGTCATTTAGGCGAAATCGGTGTCGGAATTCAAGCAATTCTTCAACGCCCACTTTGCGGATTTCGGATACACGGAGCGCATCGCAACCGGACAGCGTATGGCGCAGCTGTCATATGCAGCAGATGCTCAGTAATCACTGAAGTGTCACTGCGAATGTGTGTGAACTAATTACGATGGAGCAACACAGACACATATCTACTAGCTCTCTACTTTCAATATTCACAAGCAGAGAATTTGACTATCTCGTGTCTAGTGGACGTTACTTCCATGGATTCGTCAGTGCCGAAGTTGACAGGCAGGGACAGCACGGCCGCGAGAGTTGAATGGCAACGACAGTTTTTGCTATAATTACGCATTCTGTCCAGGCAGCGCGCGTATAGCGCCGTAAGCATAATTAGGCATTCATCGAGCACATCCTTCTCAGTCATTTGCAAGTCACATTTCGTGTTGAAGAGCACATCTGGGTTGGGTCGCCAATATATGTAGCAATGCTCCAATAACTTGCAAAGATGTGTCAACATGGTCCCCAATTTCTACGAGGCCCTGTTTATTCTCCACGAATCTGACTTACGGGTGCCAATCGGCTTATAAGTACTTGCATAATCAAACATTCTGTAGCTGATAGTGATAAGGCCGATACCTGCATAATTTCCGCATTCCGAACGTCAAACCCTTTGAAAATTTGAACATAACAGAGTAGCTCTAGCCGGTTAGGACAGTTCCACTAGTTAATCGTGCAAACCACCCACAAGAGCAGTTCCTTCGAATTTGAAGAGTGCTTGGGGAATTCCATCTCGTCTGACAGCCTTATTCAATCTCAGTAGTTTGGCGGATCCACAGATGCTGCATCTGTTGTTGAGCGATCACTGACCAACAAAGATGCCGATCAAGTTGGTTTCCAAACAGCTCAACCGATAGCGCCAAGCATTTTCACAGGTCTTGCAGACTGTCTCCGTTCATCGCATACGGTTTTATCAAAAAAACAGACTTAGTCTTTCTCTTCCCATATGAGACGGAATCAAATAACATACGTTACCGAAAATTTGCTCCGTGCTGAGGCTGATGTTGCATTCATGATGCTTCTTCACCGCAGTTGGGCTAAACCAACTTACACTTAAACTAGGTTTTTAAGCTGGTTAAATATCTTTCTACCTGAATAATCTTCTATTAACTGGCCACGTTGCTTACGCTAATTGTGTTTATCTTCGTTAACATGATTGCGTTTGTAGCATTTTTGAGTAACTTCTGGACCTTTTGTACTTATCTCGGATTCGTTGCTAATCAACTTACTTCATATGCTAGTTTAGCGAACATTTATGTCTACATAGTCGTGTTCTTTAACACATATATTTTATTTGTTACTGTCATTTCAAGTGATTGGCTGTTGTTTGACCTCCTCGGTGTGGCTGCGCTTGATGTGCATGTTAACAAAATGCCTACCTGTCTACCACTACCTCGGCCATACTGGCTCTAGGAGACAGTTGGTCGTTGCTGGAGAGGACGGGGTGTACGGTCCTTGTGGTCGTGCTAGGCGCGAAGAGTGGTTCCATGCACTCAGTGTAGAGCGGACGGGGTGCACGGTCCTTGTGGTCGTGCTAGGCTCGAAGAGTGGTTCCATGCACTCAGTGTGGAGCGGACTACGGGTTGATTCCCAAATGCAGCGTGCCGGAGTTTGGCTGTGAAGGAGTGTGAGCCGGCTCTGTTGGTGAAACGTGGCTCCCATCCACATGCCTCCTGGTCTTATTCCTTCGGGTTTACACTGGATATGGGATGTGTGGGTGGTGCAGCGCAAGCCACCCATAGTCCCTCTGTAGACGCAGGAGTCCTGTGGCTGGCCACAGTGTCAGGCAGGTCCGAAACCGGATGCCGCCAACCATTACCGAATATAAGCCCATTCATAGGTAATCTGACAGTATGACTTTGCAACATCATATTTGTACAAAATCGTCAGTTCATTTATCAGCCGACTCCTAAAAATCAGCGAAAGAGAAACGAAATTGTTCCTGCACGATTTTGACGTCATCACTACCTACTCTCACTTGAACAAATTCAAGTAAAACCTGCTCTATTTTGGGTCAGCTATGGTGAATGTAATGTTATACTCGCGGTTAATGAGGCGTAGGATGGTTAGAATAGAGTTTCATTGCAACGGACAGTGTATTGACCAGACGTCAAGTCACATGAAACAGGTAATTACAGCTGGCAATATGTGATCAAATGAAAGTATCTGGGAAAAGGCAAAAGCATCAAAGAAAACCCCTTGTTTTAACAAATAATCGATTATCTTCGATTGTGCATTGATTTCGAAGATTCTGGAACCTTCCATTCCTTCATGTGATTGCCAGCATACGAAGTTTTGGCAGGGAGGATGTTAATTTTACCAGTTGATCATTTTTCTAGAAGCCGAAGATCATTGAGCCGCTTGTATATTTGGTGGAGCTCTAGCGTGGGTTGTACAGCGTTTTGGCGCCGCTTTAATCCGATTTTCGCGGTCAAGGTCGTTGGACTTCTGATTTTTTTGGCTGGTCTAGGACTCTTGCGGAGCATTTTGTGGTCTTTAATTCGGAATAGCGAGAAAACGTGAAGATTTAACAGTGGCGACGGACAAGGACGGAAATGTTGCACTTTTCCGCCGAACATTTTTAAAAGTTGCTCCAGTGCTTGAACGTACAGTCAAACTGTGTAGCCACTCGGGACACGCAGGCCGCTTCACTTGATGTTCCTACTCATGCAATCACTGTATTTCATTATAATGCACTTTCTGGGTGTGATTCAAACGCTGGAAGGACATGTTCCAGACGGATTACAGCCGTCAAGATGATTCATGAAAAGTGTCTTTTGCTCCGCCCAAAGAGCCGAAGGACATCAGTTTCAACAAAGCAGTGGCAATATTCAAAGAAATTTTGGTGAGTCAGCGTCTTTGTTTAGCATTCGCTACCAAAGTCTCAAAATCGTTAAGCGGGATACGGACGATTGTGGGACAATAGCAGCCATGGTTAACCGTGAATGCGAACGTCTCAAGCTACACTGTTCGAAGGATGACCAATTTGAGTGTCTCATATTTGTCAGTGCTTTACAGTCCCCATGCGA